CACCCCCACCCCCCCTTGGAGTCCAGTCCCTGTATTTACTCTCCCTGGGTGGGGCCTGGGCTAAGGCAGCCTGCCTGAGGCTTTCTCCTTTGCAGCTCCCAACTCAAGAACCCTAGTGATGAAGATTCGCTAAATGACTTACTGATTCAAGAGCTGCTGGCCTGGATGGTGGATCAGATGGAGCTCTGCAGGCTCAGGCGGCAAGGTAGGGAGGCTCTGGGTGTCTTCCGTAGTGGTTATAACCTTGAGCATTGGGGTCAGACACAGGTTCAGATCTGCACCCCAACATATGCTGGCAAATTCTTAGACTCTCTGAACCTGGGTGTTTTCATGAAAATTGGGGCTATTTAAACCACTTCATAGGACTGCTGTGGGTTTTATTTTTATTTATAAATTTAAAAAAATATATATATGTTTTTATTGATTTCAGAGAGAGGAAGGGAGGAGAGAGAAATAGAAACATCAATGAGAATCATTGATCAGCTGCCTGCTGCACACCCCCTACTGGGGACTGAGCCTGCAACTCGAGCATGTGCCCTGACCGGGAATCAAACCGTGACCTCCTGGTTCATTGGTTGCCCCTCAACCACTGAGCAACAGTGGTTGGGCTGCTGTGGGTTTTAAATAAGAGAATGCAAGAAAAAAGCTGAGAGCAAACTCTGTAGAGTAGTAAGAGTTCAGTAATGTTGGCAGCTATTATTACTGCTTGTACTTCTTTCTCAACTTCCTCGAAGGGAGATGCCGCTCCCACCTCCCGGCCCACCCCAGCTGACCTGCCCATCCTATTCTCAGCTTTCCCTCTCTACCCTTGTGCCCTGACGCCTTCCAAGTGATAGAACCCCTGTAGTTGGAGGCATGTTGCCCTGCTCTGTAGCCTCTGCTGGTTTCAATGGTCCTTGAATCCACCTTACCAGCTAGGAGGTCCTTCAATCTATTATGTCCTAGAAGAAAGGGATAGCTAGATATCATGGAGAGACCCATCCACCTAAAGGGTGAGTCGGGACACTGAGAATGCAGACCCCGAGGCACGGAAACCAAAACACATTGAGACTTCAATGATGGGAAGCTTGGGCAGGACTGAGGGAACAAATGTGGGAAGACTTCCCGTAAGAGGAGAACAGGGGAGAGAGGAATGTGACCAGAACCAGCAAAGAAGAGAGTATGAGAAGATCTCCATGGGAAGGTGGGTGACAGTCTCCGTGCTTTTTGAATCATTTTGATTATTTAGAATGAAAAAAGCAGTTTGGAGGTAGGGGCAGTTGAACTATGGCTGGGTGCCAGGATAAATTTACTTTGCTGACTCCAAGCTGATAATGACCCTCCTCTCTACCACTTCCCCTCCCCTCTCTACTCTCCACAGGTTTCAGTGATTCTGGCTAAACCCAGCTCAGGACTGGACTCTGCCCTTCCATTACCCAGCTCCTGCCTCAGCCCCACTCCTCGGTACCCTAGAGAAGCCAAACCAATAAAGTTTAAGCAGAAATAAATCTTTGTGCCCTTTGTCAAAACGTATTCAAATGTCTACTGAGCACTACTAATGTATGTTTGTCTGTGTGTGTGTACCACCCAAGGAAAAGAAGATATGGCTCTTACCCATCTGTTAATTCACCTATTTATTCTACAAACACTTACTGGAAACTTAGCATAAGCAGGGCTGTGTGCAACACTGGGTGTACAGCAATGTGGGAAACGAACACAGTTCTTGGCTCTGTGAGGGGTTTACAGTCTAGTGATGAAAACAGGCCTTAACTTTTAAACACACAAACATACAATAATCACATAACATGCTAAGTTCTGTGAAGAAAGGAGGTGGCTATGAGAAAGGACAGAGAAACCTTATCTATGTGGAGTCAGGAGGGTCTCTTGGAGAAAATGCCATTTAAGTTGAATAAGGTTTGGAGAATAAAAATGGCCAAAGGAGCCTTAATAAATATTAGCCAGTGTTATTAATACAGCAAAATGGGCGATGGGGAAATAGGACGGGCAGAGGCTAGCCAGGTGGGAGGGGCAGGGCCTGAAAGACCATGTTAACGCTTTCGGATTTTCTCCTCAGTGCAAAGATGAGTCCTTGAAGGATTTTAAGCAGGGTCAGGTCAGAGAGGACTTATTTGCATTCCAAACAATCACACTGATGAGAGTAAGAATTATATTGAGATGAGTAGGGATGAAAGGGGAAGAAGAAGTTCAGTAAAGAGGCTCTTGCAGGGTTCCAGGTTTACACTAGGGTGATGGTAGTGGGGGGTGAAGCAAAGTGGGAAAACTCAATTTATCCAAAAGTCAATACCTTTATCTCCCTGTGTTCAGAGTCTTCCACACCTCAGTCTGCTGCCTTCTCCAATGCCCTGCATCCACAGATATACCTTCTCCCCCTAGCTGGGTCATCTTCTCTTGGAATGTCCTCCCCCTCTCCCCTTGATCTAGTCATATTTTAGTAGACTAGAGGCAAACACACCTAGATTGAAAGCACTTACTAGCTCTGTGACTTAGCAAGTAAGTTTCTCTCTCTTAAATCAGTTTCCTGTCTGTAAAAAGAAGATTGAAAAGTATCTACCTCATAGAGTTAAAGTAAGTATTAAGATAATGCCTGGCACAAAGTAAGTGGTCAATAAAAGTTAACTTTTGTTATTGTTATTCACACACCTAGGCCTTAGTTTAAAAACACAAGGATGTTAGTTTAAAATCAGAGAGCGGCAAGCTAGATGGCCAAAGGTCTGGGCCAGTAACATAAATGAGCAAAGCAGGGAGAGTGTAAGACAATGGGCAGGATGGGGACTGTGAAAATGGAAGAGACATGCTGGCCTAAAAGCTTTCTGGTGCCAAACAAAACTTTAGAGAGCTGAACTTGCCTGAGCGCTGCCAGTTTGCCATCACTTCCAGCTCTTACATATTTGGTTTCCTCTCCTCTAAACTCTTCAAATCCTGCCCAGTCGGGCGTGGCTCAGCGGTTGAGCATTGACCTAGGATCTAGGCCATCAAGGTTCGATTCCCAGTCAAGGCACATGCCCGGTTGCGGGCTGCAGCCGATCAATGACTCTCTCATCATTGATGTTTCTATCTCTCTTTCTCCCTCTCTTTTCCTCTCCCTGAAGTCAATAAAGATATATTTTTAAAAATAAAATAAATAAAATAAATAAACTCTTCAAATTCTGAGAATGTGTACTACACAATTTAGAGCATGCCTTTGTTCAGAGGTTGTATTTTAGTGATTGGCCATGATAGAATTGTCTTGAGGAGAAGTTTGGATCTCTAATTCTGAAGTCTTGGGTGTCTCTGGGGGTCAATAAATCAGAAAGGATTATTTTAAAATATTTTGTACAATGTTCTCACTATAGGGCAGGCATTGGGCTCAGTCTTTTATAAACATTTTTTCAACTTTTGAAGTTATTTATTCTTTATTGATTTTAGAGCGAGAGAGGAAGGGAAGTAGGGAGGGAGGAAGAGAGAGAGAGATTGATTTGTTGTTCTACTTACTCATGCATTCATTGGTTGTTTCTTTTCTTTTAACATATCTTTATTGACTTCAGAGAGAGGAAGGGTGAAGGAGAGAGAGATAGAAACATCAATGATGAGAGAGTCATTGATCAGCTGCCTCCTGCACACCCCCAACTGGGGATTGAGCCCACAACCTGGGCATGTGCCCTGACCGGGAATCAAACCTTGATCTCCTGGATCTTAGGTCTATGCTCAACCACTGAGCCATGCCTGGCCGGGCTCGTTGGTTGTTTCTTGTATGTGCCCTGACAGGAGATTGAACCAGCAACCTTTGGCGTATTGGGACACTCTAACCAACAGGGCTGAAGCTTTTTATTCTTTTTTTGTTGTTTGTTGTTCAAATTTATAAACATTTTTAAAAGTCATGATGATCTCATTTAAAGCCTCATCACAACCCTTTAAGACAATACCATAATAGCTGTTAACCATGCACTACACTGCCTCCATGAGGCAGAGAATTAAAAGCCTGTGCTGTTAGCCACCTTGCCACAAGGCCAGTGAGTCACTTAAAGCAAGCGAGGGCATCTGTCACAATCAGTATTCAGGCTGTATTGTAGCAGAGTGCTTCTGAGAGACACTGTTAAATTGTCAGGAATTTTGAGAGCAGGTTGTAAAACCACTGATAGCTTAAAATTGGCCATGGTTAGAGTATTTATACCATGGAAACCTGCAAATGTTATAAATCAGAGCTCCTCTCTTTCCACCTGGAGAGGTGGTTGTTAAACATTTACTAGCACATTACTGATCAGCATAATTTCTGTAAAATTATAAAGGAGAACAAATGTGTCTGAATAAGGGAATGAGTGAGCATGTCTGCTGAGAGTGGCAACGAGGTTTGTCAGGGGCCAATGTGTTTACCTAAAGGAGTATGTATTTGTGCATTTGAGGGTATAGTTAAATCTAAGGTCATGAGTGTGAGTGAAGGATCAGTGTGTGCACCTTAAGGGTCATATAGCGTGAGTCGAAGACTGACAAATGAAGCAGGTGTGTCCAGATGGTGTGAGTGGGTGCCTAAAGGACCCAGTTTTTGTTAGGGAGTGATGCGGTAGGAAAGTGAGGGTATGAGGTCAGTGTGTCAGTATGGACTGGTGTGTTCTTCACAGAAAGGGGTGAACAGGTATGCTGGAGGAGGTTAGTGTGTATGGGGGGGTTTGAAAAGGCTAGTACCTGTTGGTGTGTCTGAGAAAGTTTGTATCTAAGCGGGCTTATGCTGAGTGTAGTGTCTGAGGGTGTGTGTGAGAATGAATCTAAGGGGCAATTATGAAAGGCTGAATGATCATTTTAGCCTTAGTCCTTGCATCCATTAACATTATATTCTGCTTCAAATATCAGAAAAACACAAAATAACAGTGGCTTTAGCAAGAGACAACATTATTTCTCTTTCTTGTAAAATCCAAAAGCAGGAAGTCCAAGGCTGGTGTAACAACTCTGTCCCATGAAATCCTCAGGGACCCAGGCTCATAGGGCTTACAGCTCCATCATCTCTTAAGGCCTCAAATGGCAACTAAACATCCTGCCACCAACCTCTGCACTCATCCTCTTATCCTTTAACTAGAAATCTCTCTGACAACATTTTTCACTTTGGTTGCACCTTGATCCGTATCCCAGCCCACCTTTCTGTAGAACTTCATACTAGTACATCCAAATGACAATTGCCCATCTCTCCTGTGATGGCCCATGGACCTCAATTTCCACTACTAAACTACTCAATTATTTCCTCAACTTCATGCTGTGATCTCCCCCTCCCCCAATGGCATCACACTTGGTGCTCAAGCCAGAAAATTGAGCATCCCGCAGACTTTCCCCACCCACTCTGCCCTCACCTTATCAGTTTTATCATTTCACCTTCTTAATACTTCCTGAATTTGTCCCGTTCTCTCTATCCTTACTGCCCCTATCTTAGTTCTGGCCCTCATCATTTCTAGTTTAGACTGCAGAAACTGGCTTAATTAAGTATAGGTTGCCACTACTTTTTTTAAAACAAAAATTTGATTTTATTACTCACTGACTTAAGAATCCTCCATTAACTCCTTCGTTAGGCTCCATAATGCTATTGAAATCATCTATGGAAAAAAATCACCTATGGAGTTTCCTGAACACACAGGCTACTAAAACCACTCCAGACCTGATGACTATCAATCATAGCTGATATTTACTAAATGCTTTGTTATATACTTTCTGAATTAATCCTCACAACAACTTCGAGTAGGTATTCCTTTTCCACAACTGTGGAAACTGCAATACAAGAGATTAAGGAATTTGCTTGAAGTTACCGGACTATATATAGTGGAAGTAAGCTATGGAGTCGGGCAACCTAATTCCAGAGCCCAAGATCTTAACTGCAAGGTCCGCCAGACAGAATACGTGGGACTCTCACAGGTAAGCTCCACTCGCGTAGAAAGGATTCTGGCTAATGCTCTATATGGCACCCTCGGTGCCCAAGAACCGAGTAGGCGACCGATGAGCATTGGTGACTGGGGTGGTGGTGGAGGGGCGGTCACGGGAAGAGGAGCGTCCAAGGCGTCCACGCGAGTGTGGAACTCGCGGCCGCACCCGGACGCGTAGGGCTCCGCATCCGAACACCTCGCCTTCCCCGCCGCCCGGCTGCGAGGAGCTCGGCCACCAACGAAAGGCGGGGCCCAGGCTTCTAGCCCTGGGATACCTGCAGGCCCGCGGCAGGAAGTCGGCGCGTAGCTTCCGGCGCGCGGGGATGACGTAATCACCGCGCTTCCGCGTTCGGGAGCCGGCGGCGGATCCCGGGAAGCGGAGACCCGGGGTCCGGGCAGCGGGGTGGCCCGCGGGCCCAAGGCGGGGATGCACCGCCGCGGGGTGGGAGCCGGCGCCATTGCCAAGAAGAAGCTTGCGGAGGTGAGGGAGAGAAGGCGGACCCGCAGCCATCCCTGACCCGCGGGAGACCGGAGTCTCTGGAGCAGAGAGCTCTGTACCCTCAAACCGCCTCCCTGCAGAGTCTCACACGGGCTTCTTGGGTCCCCGGGAACGGAGTTTCTCCAGCTTCCGGTAGCTTGGAATGTCAGCATCCCCAAACCCACCAGCCCTTTTCCCCACTTCCCCAAATTTGACTACAGACGTTCGTTCATTCTACATCGTCATCCCTCTCTCTAAGAAAAGCCGTTTAAGAGATACCCTCCCCTTTTCAGCCGAGGCAGTACAGGTGGGAGCCCCCAGCGCCCACTCTCTCAACTCATGCTGGTCTCTTTGTCCGACAGGCCAAGTACAAGGAGCGAGGGACTGTCTTGGCTGAGGACCAGCTGGCTCAGGTGAGTTGGTTGCAAGGCTCCAGGCAGGAAGGGAGACCCCACAAGGCTGGACAGGACACCTTTGATATAAACTAGATTGTTTGGGTTGAACTAAAAATAGGGTTTTGGGCAAATCCTGATTTCTGGGCTCCTCAGTTAACATCTTTGAGTGATTACGTCCTCATAGCCTCCCAGGCATGTGTCCCATTTTCTTTACTTAGACTACCTTGTTCACTCTTCCTGCAAATCCTATCAGGGAGGAACACTATTCTTCTTAGTTTAAAATTGAGGACCCTGAAGTATTAATTTACTCAAGGTTACATGGGTGGTAAGTGGTAGAGCTCTTTGTCTTAGGTCTTTTGGAGTTTTTACTTTAAATACCTATGAATAATGTGAAAATATTGCCTAACCTGGGGCACTCACCACCATGGTCATCACAGCTACTTGCATACCAGAAGTGTGTGTGAGTGATGGGGGCTCCTGCACAGTTTCCTTTTCTAACTTTCCTTTTCTGTGCTTGCCTTGAGTGTACTCAGTTATTGTAACTGGTGAAGAAGAGGAGAAATCAGTTAAGCAGGGAAATGGGCCTTTGAACTGAGGAAAGATAGTAGACACAGGCTGTGCTCTTCAAAAGCTCCCGCTCATGGGGAGATGACATAAAGGAAACAACTGGAAATGGTGACTGGACAGTGTTAGTTTCTTATGTGTAGCAAGTGAGGAGATAATTGGATCAGAAGTGGTTACTCTTGGTGTGGTAGAAGATAGGCTTTATGAGAAGGAATCATACAAATAGGAAGTTAGAAAATCCCCAAAGTATTTGTATTTAGCTTTGGAATGTAATCTGGTAGACCCACAGCCCTCCCTCAGGGATTCTTTATCTGGAATTGATCCCCAAGGAGGCCCATGACTCAGATTAAATAACCACTGCACACCTAATTCATGCTAGACTTCCTTTTGTGGCCGAAGATTTCCTACTTCATGAATGGTGCAGTACCTCATTTTTAAGACAAAATGGATTATTAGATTCGTCTTCAAATTAATAATAGTTTTCCTGGGAAAAAGTACCACATTAGATGTGCACATTGATTGTTAGATTCATCTTGACTTTAGAACAGGAAATGAAAAGTGCATTTAGAATTGAGGAAACATTACAGCATCTCATTTCTGCTGACAACAGAACTGTGAAGGAGAGGCAGGGATCAAAAGAAAGGGAACAGAAAACAGCATAATGATAGGCCTGAGGACATATGTTATTTCAACCTTTGCCCTGCCACTGGGCCAGGGACCTATTTTTGGCATCTGATTATCACCTAGGTGGGCTGCCCCTAACCTCCCCTTTTCCATCTTACAGATGTCAAAGCAGTTGGACATGTTCAAGACCAACCTGGAGGAATTTGCCAGCAAGCACAAGCAAGAGATCCGGAAGAATCCTGAGTTCCGGGTGCAGTTCCAGGATATGTGTGCCACCATTGGGGTGGATCCTCTGGCCTGTAAGGAGTTGTCTGTAGGGGTCCAGTGTTCTGGGATTTCAAAGGGACAGAAGCTACCTAGTTATCACTGCTGTCAGGGGCATCTTCTGGAAGGGCCTACAGGAAGATACAGATTAGGGAATTCCTAGCAGAACACTGAGTGCCCAGTTTAATGGGGGAGATGGAGAGGCTGGAATGCAGGTTGAGGAGCCAGTGTTCGTGATCTTCCCTTGAATGATGTACAGTGGAATTTTTTTATGGCTATTTTTTTAAACATATATGGATTTAATGCTATAATTACAACTCTGTAACCTGCATTTTTCACTCAAAATATTGTCTTCAATAGATTTTTAAATGCTAGGTCTGTGTGTATCTGTTAGCCTTGTGTAGACCATATGTCCCATTATGTTTCACTATGTGCTTTGGGAAAGGAAAACTTTTTATAGTATCCTGAGCCAGAATCTGCAGCCAAGTAGAAATGCCTTGTAGATTCCTACCCTTTAGAACTGTCTGAGCATGTTCTTTAGCAGGAATTACCAAGAGTCAGATTGCATTGGGGATCCTTAGTAGTAAATGGAGAAGGACTTAAGGCCAGGCAGGGAAGACTTCCCATAGGAGAGATGTTTAATCTAGCTTTGAAAGAGAAGATGTAACTAATGAATAACCTAGCTTTTGCTTTTCTGTTTTTAGCTGGAAAAGGATTTTGGTCTGAGATGCTAGGCGTGGGAGACTTCTATTATGAGCTGGGCGTCCAGATTATCGAAGTGTGTCTGGCCTTGAAGCACCGGAATGGAGGTGAGGGTGGCTAGGTTCTGTGGACTGGGCTTTGGACTTCTCTGAGAGGGAAACAACCTTGAAAGATATCCTTTCCTATCCTGCAATATGCAGGCAAATAAGATCTAGAAAAGCACCTTAGCTGCTTCATGCAGTTGAATTGTGGTAGGTCTCCACGGCCAAGGGTAAATGGAATTACCTGAATGATTGTCTCTATTCTCCAAAGATCTTTGGCCAGGAAGATCTAGCTCCTAGTCATTGCAGAAAGTAGTAGAGAGGTAGGAAATAGGGTATGGTGATGCCAGTTAAGTGTCTGTGCTCTCTAAAATGTGTCCTTAGCCCTGGCTGGTGTGGCTCCGTTGAGCTTTGTCTCATACACTAAGAAGTCACCAGTTTGATTCCTGGTCAGGGCACATGCCCTGGTTTCGGGGCAGGAGGCAACCAATTGATGTTTCTCACTCATCAGTATTTCTCTCTCCCTCTCCCTTCTTCTCTCTAAAAAATCAATCAGAACATTTTAAAATAAAGTGTGACCTTAAATATGGTCATCCAGTAGTGTCATCTTAATAAGCACAGTAAATGGTCTGTGTTGAAGTTAAGAAAGAAAATCTAAAACCAGTTATAATTCATTGGTTATAGATACAGCATTGATGTCAAAAGAGCATTTAGTTTTTCAAACATACTGCTGCCTTTGTTTTTTTAGCCATAAAGGTAATCCTTCATCTGCTTTCTGTCCCCCCTCTCCAATAGGTCTGATAACTCTGGAGGAACTACATCAACAGGTGTTAAAAGGAAGGGGCAAATTCGCCCAGGATGTCAGCCAGTAGGTCTTAACTTCTTCCAACTCCTTGGAGTATAGAAAGGCCTTTAAAAACCAGATGGATAGCTTTTCTCCTTACTGCTTGTTTGTCTAGGATAGTTTAAGAATCATTTTATTCCTCATTTAGAAAAAAGTTATTATTTTAGAAACTCAAAATAAGAGATAAACCACCCATTATTTCTCAACTGAGAGATTACAACTGTTAAAACATTTTGGTATATATTTTTTATGCATCCATTTTTAAAACATTCTTGGGTCTGTGTGTACTCTTAAAAATTATTTGAGATCAAGAAGAGTAGCAGGCACTGAGAGAGGCTAGGGAAGGGAGTTGGGGTCAGAAGATAGGGTATAAATTAACCTGGTTCACCAGCTCCTAGGTGTGACTCCAATTTGAGAAAAGGTAAAAAAGGTTGTCAGTATGTGGGCTGGGTATGTTGTCTACACATTGTTTTGTAAGTTTCCTTTTCCCCTAATTTGAGTTAGTTGTCAACTAAGAAATCAGAAAGTCTGACAGTACTGGACCTGAATTTCCAAATGGTAATAATCAACTTTGGATTGTCCCCATTAAAATGGATAAGCATTATCTATTTTGCCATAGTTCACACTACTCCCTGTTGTCTCTTACGTTCAGCTCATTCATTCACATTTCCTGACGGACTCCTGTAGGCATGATTTTTACCTCTGTCCAGTATTGAAGTGGTTTGTTTAGTGGAGAACCTGACCATCTCCCTTAAATGTCCAAGCACCGTTTGGTGCCCTTTAACCCTCTTTTTGTTGACATAGTTAAATGTTGTGCAGCCTTTGGAGTCTTCTGTCAGGGTATTCTTCCCAGGGCAGAGCTGAAACTGCACTGTTGCTAGGTCGACTTTGCCAAGGGTCTTTAAGCAGCTCTTCCTCACGTTAGAGACGACCTGATCAGGGCCATCAAGAAACTAAAGGCACTTGGCACTGGCTTCGGCATCATCCCTGTCGGCGGCACTTACCTCATTCAGTCTGTTCCAGCTGAGCTCAATATGGATCACACTGTGGTGCTGCAGCTGGCAGAGGTACTGGTGTGCCTTCTGAGTGTGTGTGTGTGTGTGCGCTTGCGTGTGCGAGCGCATAGTAGGGACAGTCTGGGAGGGGATTCTGGAGCACCTCTGATCTCAGTCACTTGTCTTTTTGCTGAAACTGTCTAATGGATGCACTACTCAGACCTGTGCTTATTTAGCAGTCATTTATTGAGCAGCTACAGTGCAAAGCACTGGGCTAGGCTGTGGGCCATATAAAGATGGGTACCACACAATTCCTGCTCTCAAGGAGCTTACAGTCTAGTGAAGTAGACAGACATGCAGACAACTAACTGTATTTCCTTGGGTAGACAGATTCTTGGATGTCTTCTTAAAACTACTTTACGGATTCTTTAAAACAAATGTTTAATCTTTTTTGTCATCCCCTGTTCCTCAGCATGCCTTAAGTGTATGCCATCCTCCCCCAAATCCTTATCATGTATTTAGGGAAGACATGTTTGGTCTTCTTAATTCTGCAATGTAGAACAAAACTAAGTAAGGTAGGGGCTTTTCTTGATTGGGGAAAATAGGTAGGGTGAGACAGGGCAAGAGCTAAATATTTAAATATTTTAGATTATGAACAGTTGGTGATTATTACCATTTTCCCCTATCAATCATTCTGAATCTTCCCTTATCACACTATAGTTCTCTGAGAGTTAAAACTAGTATTATAGTGCCAGGAACTCTACTTTTTAAGACTGAACCACTCAACCTACCTGCCACCTGAAAGTCACCCCTCCTTTCCGCTCCGCTCCTCCCTGCTGCGACCTCTAAACATTCTGTCTCTGCTCTTAAGGCTGTCTGTGCCCACAGACCATCTGTCCTCCCATCTGGAAAAATCAGCTGTCCCGGGGCAAATGGTGGGTTCTAAAAATCCCTTCCTCCTTCCTTCAGAAAAACGGCTACGTGACTGTCAGTGATATCAAAGCCAGTCTTAAATGGGAGACAGAGCGAGCGCGGCAAGTGCTGGTATGTGACTTTTGGAATGGCGCAGAAAAGATGGGCCCCAGATGGGAGGGGGTGGGTGGTCAGGAGTTTCAGCCTTGTTCTGACGGCTTCTTGCCTTGAAGGCTACTGCTGCCACACTAGAAGTAACCCCAGCGTTTCTCTGAAGATGGCGCTGAGAGGTAGAACTCACAGAGGCAGGCTTCTAACCTTGAGTGTGTAAAACCAGGCTGCCACTACTGTGGGATCACCAACACCTGCTCTCTCCTGACCTGTAGAACTTGGTCAGATGGTTAATACAGTTTGTACTGGAAGTAAAAGTTCAGAATGAAAGGAATGAACAACTTATATATCTAAATTATATACTACTGCATATATATAATTATATGCTATTGCATATAGTTATAGTTTTATATATACAAATTTCATGGTACTAATGAAAGACTGATGTTGTGAAGAGGGAGTGAGTAGCATGGAAATGTAGGCTTTTAATCCCTTCCTCCTTATCCAGACAATTAACCTGTGGACACAACTTCATCTACAATGTTAACACAGACATCTGTAAAGATAAACATACACATCTGTTTAATATTGGGCAGAACCAACTCATCTCAAGCCTATTTCCAGCTGTAGGAACTGAGTCCATTCTACTACTAATAATGACCTTCCATTAACTTCTTCAAATATCCCCACATCTGTTACTGAACCCAGTAAGTTAACTGGAAGATAGTGGTCTCCATTTTGCTTCAGAGAATGGAGTCTGTGATTAGCTCAAGTCCACATAGCAAGTACTTCTGCAGCCCTACATCCCTTCTATATCCCACTCTGTCTTTACACCTTTTCAGCAGCACAGGTTAAGTGACTTGGTGGCACTTTTCACACCTCAGGCAAAGGTCAAGGCCATACAGAGCACTCCAGTTTGGTTGTATAAATGTGTGAAGGCACTCATGTAGACTTAATTTGAAAACTTCACTGAAACCAGAATAGGATTGGAGATTCTCTTTGTGGGAACTCTCCTTTCTCAAATGCCTCTTCCTTTTCCCTCCAGGAACACCTGCTGAAGGAAGGGCTGGCCTGGCTGGACCTGCAGGCCCCAGGGGAGGCTCACTACTGGCTGCCCGCCCTCTTCACTGACCTCTACTCCCAGGAGATTACAGCTGAGGAGGCCAGAGAAGCCCTCCCCTGACTCTGGGAGTGCGGAAGGGGGCACAGCAGTAGGCAGGGAGAAGAGGGAGGACCTGTTAGTGAATAAAACCTGGACAACTTTGTTTAAAAAAAAAACAAAACAGAAAAAAATGTTCCAAGTTTTTTTCTTCCCCCAGTATTCTTCACTCATTTTTATTTTTTAAAGTGCCTTCACATTGCATCATTATTGGAGAAAAACCTCATTTATCCAGTAAGGATAACCTGAGTAACAACAGCGAGCACGTAAAATGACTTGCACAGATCATCCTCAAGTCCATGGTAGAGCTGGGCCTAGAATGAAGGCCATCTGTCTCTCGGCTAGACAGTCTAGTCTCTTTGTAGCCCTGAGACATAAATTACAGCCTCTGTTAATTCAAACCTATTCCTTATAAAATGTTTTTTATCTCAAATGAGCAGATCCTAATGGACTAGTAAATTTTATTCTTCTAGCTTCCTCTTGTAGAGGTTCCAGGTTGTAACCGACTCGGCCAAGAATGTGAAGGAAATACAGGTTAATGTTAAATGGTGGTTAGAGGGAAGAAACCAGTGGGATTTAAGGGGAACCAATAGTGAATGTAGCATTGTTTCTCAAATGCTTATCTTTCCCTCCGGTACTGATCACTAGATCCTTCTAGCCTTAGTGGTGGGAAAGGAAATAATTTACTGCACACCTACCCTGTGACCATTTCTATATACACCTCTTAATCCTTACAACCACCTTACAAAAACATAGGTATCCTTAACTTTGCAGGTAAGGAATCTGATTTGCCAGGGACCATCAGCTTAAGCAGCAGAGCCAAAACTAGAGCCTAGGTCCACTAACCTAAGCCCACACTTTGCATGTCACAGGCTGGCAGGATCTCCTTCCTACACATACGATCAGTGAAGATGAAAAGTCCTCTGCACCAGAAAAGCAAAGGCCTTCAACAGCAAGTAGGAGAGGTGGTGATGAGCAGAAAAGCTTGTTAAGCCATTTTCAGTCTGCTAAATTCCTAAGGGCTGGTTTAGTACAGAAAACAAGACCCAATGGATTATCCAATACTAAGACATCCTTCCTTTAGCAGGGGATATAGCCTAAGCCCATCTTTAGCTGTCTGTCCATGTAGGACATGCTCACTTTCGTTTCTGAATAGGTATTTCTTTGGAAGCAACTGAGGCTATGATGGCATTCCTCTTTTATCACCGGTAGTCCTGCTCCCACCCACGTCATGTAACTCATTTTTAGCTTCCACACAATTCACTGAGCACTTACTTTCCGGCAGTCTCTGGCCTAGATGAGATGTGTGGTGGTTGATATCCATCTTCCTTTACACAAGCCCTCCCACACCCATAGGCGCTTCCTCCTTCTGCCAAACAAACTTTATTGCACCAAAAAGAAAAAAAAAAAACTTCATTTATGTACAGTCAGATATAAAGACATCTCTTTGACTCCTGTGCATATATTTCCTCAACTCAAGATTAGGGCGTAAAAGTCAGGCCAGTATGCCAGACATGCTCTGCCCGTGGCAGGGCCAAGGAGAAGATTGTCACTTGAAAGTGGGAACACTTAAATGGATGACAGACAACACTGGACCAACAGACCAAGGGCATTCTTCTAAGCCCTGTACTAGCTCTGGGAATGGAAAAGGGAAATTGGAAGCGGGGCGCCTTTTTAAGTCTTGTGAAAAAGACCTAACCTTTAGATATCCAAGATAAACTTCCGTTCCCCAGACCCACTTCCTGTCCAGTTTCTTTGCTTCCTGCCCTCCCAAGTAGGACATTCTCCTTTGTGCCCAACCCCCTTCCCAACTCCCCCGGGGAAGTCCCATGATTCACAAGGCAGAGGCCTCCATAGCAGCTGTCAGAGCAGATAGAAGTTATCCTCTCCCTTACATGTGGCTGGATACTGATTGGGGCCCTGTGTCACGTGGGTCAATACCCCACTGGGAGCCGTAAGAATCTGGAAAGCACAGGGATAACACATCAAAAATGGGAAGGATAGATTCCCTCGATGCCCAGAATCGGGGCACCTAAAGCACATTTTTCTGAGCCAACCAGCTAAAGGATCACTGCAGCTAAATACAGATAAGCGACACAGCCAGGCAAACACCCATCAGAGCCAGTGACGAAGAGCAGCTGGAAGGGAGGGGCAAGGGGAAAGAAGGGTAGGAGTCTGCCCAATCCCCTCTGCCAATGGCTACCCCTGCTCCCCACTAGTCCCTGGGCCTTGAAGTTAGGAAGGGGAACTATAGGCTGGGGGGAAGTACACAAGGACAGCCAAACAAAATATAATAGTACTAGCATCAGCCTTCCCCCCTAGCCCACACAGGAGAAATACCCTTACTGTGACTAGTACTGATGAAAATCTCTGAGACTATTCTATGTAGTGGCTCTATCATACACCCAGCAGCTGCCTGAGTTGGGAACTTTTCAAATCAATGATTTTGGGAACAAACAGTATTTTCAGCTTTCTATGGTACATGTGTAGGCTTTACCAAGACCTTGGTTCAGTCCCATCACATTTACCTTCTGTCTTAAATCTAGAAATAGGTGAAGGAATGGGCGACAGGAGAGAAAGGTGCTCAGGTGCTAGGTAAAACTCACTGATCAGCAGCCTAGATTCCACCACTGTTCCTTCTCTTTGGTCTGTCTAGAACAGTGACTATAAATTAGGAAAAACAAAATTATGCTGTCCCATGGGAAATAATGGGGGAAGAGAGGCAAGGAGGAAAAGGGCCTTGGGAAGCCCTGCTTCAAGACTGAAGACAGATAGACAGACAACCAACCACCCAGACTGCTTAAGTGTCACAGACAGCTCCCCACCCCAAGCTCCCTTCCAGATACCCCATAAATCATTTGGGCACACTCCCTCTTAGAATTGCAGTTTCTGTCTCCTAACTCTCCCTAAGGAGCTGGCCCTGTAGAGGTGTGTTGGTTGGTTTGTTTTTGCCAGAGGCCCTCGCCCTAGGTGCTCCTGCATAGGTACCTTGGCCCCTGATATGGGATGAACATATAGCCCCAGATGCTCGAAAGCCAAGGAGGTCAGATTGTGAACCACCTCCCCACTCCCACACCCTGGGATCCAAGCTTGCTTGGTTCTTGCCATCTTGCAGGATGACGTCACGTTGGAGGGAGATACACAGTGCCTCTCCATCCCTGGGGTGGGGGAAGGAACTTGCTGGGACTCTCGAGTGGGGGGAAGGGAGAGGGGAGCAGGGTCTAAACCCTCAAGCTCCCGTGCAGGTCTGTCTCTGTCCCAGATGAGCTGCTGTCAGAGTCCATTTCAGCGTTCTCATTATGGAGCCTCTCCAGCACTTTCTGACGAATCAGTCCCAGGCGCATCAAGAGGGACTGGTAGTCAAAGTGGCCCCGCTTCTCTCCAAAAGGATCCTGTGGGGGAAAGGAGACAAAGGGGATGGAAGATTCAAGTCTAGGTGGCTCACCCTAGACAGAGCAGCTTTGGGCCCATGTGAAATGCATGTTCAACTTCTGAGTCATAGGAACAGAAGAGGGCACAGCATAGACAGTTTTGAACAGCAGACATCATCATCTTTGTTCAGGAATGTTATAGCACATTTATTGCCCCAGGTCTGGTTTGGGCCAACATTCAAATGTGTTTGCATTCCTCAGAAGCAAGCCAGTATACAGAAGGGGGACACTAAAGGCAAGATAAATGGGGAAGAGAAATAAAAGAAATTCTCAACCAGGACTGTAATAATTAAGTGTGCCTGTGTTTCCAATTAACCTAAAAAACCATACAAGGGGGAAATTATCCTTCACTCCCTATACAGCAGGTCCTTGAATAACAGCACCTTGGTTCAGTGTCTTTGCTATAACATTGGTGAGATGCCTTGAACTCTTCTTTATATCAATGAGCCTATGGTAAACTTGGTTTCGTTATATGTTGTTTTGCCGCCATTCTAAGAACTTAACATTGAGGACTTACTGTACTCAAAAAGGGTAATGTGCTTTTCTAAGGTCACAGATAGGTCTAGAACTCAGAAGTTCTGATGTCCAAATGAGCACCTGTACTTTTTCCCAGGGACCAATCGCCACAATCCTGTCCAGGTTTCTGGGCATCACGCCAGGGCCAGCTAGCCTTCATCCTAGTCCTTGTCATTCTAGATCAAAGATCTCCAAACATGACACAGAAATGGGTTAGCTGTCCTTAAATTCCCAAAATAACTAAGGTTGGGGGAGAGGATATAAAAAAAGGAATTTAAAGTGCTACATCAGGAATATGGCAGCCAAGTAGCATGGCCAGGACTCAAATAAGCAGAGACCTCTTTCCTTGGCACTCACAAAAAGGCATATGACTTTTCCTTCTCATAATCTGCTTCTGCCCACATAAACTTCCACACTTCTGCCTACATATTACCCTCATGATCAGGGACCAGTGGATATAAGTCAGAGTGACTGTGACTACAGAGTGTATTTCTCACTTACGAGGGTTACATTCCCCAAAGGCTGAACTCCACACTTACTCTGGAGTGATCGATTTTCCAAATCTTCCTTCTTTCATCATTGGCTCCATTTCCACCCACTGTCCTCCTCCCCAGATGTTGCTCCTCCCTTTCCTTCCCTCGTCATGAGTTACTTTTCCTTAACAGACTGAATATTGGAAATGCTGCTATGCTGCTGGATACCAGCAATGAGAATTCCTGATGGGAAACAAACCACGGCATCCATCATCTTCGACATAGTTTTTAAAAAAAATATGTTTTTATTGATTTTAGAGAGGGAGGGAGAGAGAGAGGGAGAGGAACATTGATGAGAAAGAAACTTCGATCGGCTGTCTCCCGTATGCCCCCTACTGGGCATGTGCTCTGACCAGGAATCAAACTGGTGACCTCTCAGTGTACCCAAAAATGCTCAATCAACTAAGCCACACTGGCCAGGGCTCAATCTACTCTTGAGCTGGCCTTACCCTTTGAGTTTAAATGTGGCAGGTGGGTGGGATGTCTTTGAAGGAACCATACGGAAACTAACATTTCTAAGCAGCACCTGAGGAAACAAGACATTTACTCCTACTGCTGGTGGTGCTCAGTGGAAGAAGAGCCCAGAAGAGCTGGAGAGAACCTTAAAAGGTCTTAGTCACTTACTCAACTCACCTTAAGTAAGACAGACCACCA